GGGAACGAGAATTTATCGAAATAAGACAAATTTGGGGCACTTTAGGCCCAAGGATCACAAAAATTGTCCCAACTCAACGTCAGTCACGAGGGTAGAAACGTGAATATGTTATCCTTGCGTAGTTTATAAATTCCCCATCTGGTGATGGGTAACATATGGTGACGAAAGCAATGACATCGGCCTCGATGTTTCGTAATGGACGTGAAATTCGACCCCACTTCGACCGAAATTACCGCATGCGATTTCGCTAAAAAATTATTGGACCTCGTCAGTCACGTCTTCCTTTACGTACACCAAGAATTTCGTTTCAGGTTTTCGACTATCGACAGAGATATGAGGATTTTGGTGCGTGACCTTCACGACGGGCGCCGGTATCACAGAACACAAGAGCCATGGGTTCATACCTGCGCTTCACTTACCGACAAAAACCTGTCTTAATAGTTTCGAATCGGCTGTATATCAGTTCCCGGTGTATGTACTATGTCTCACGCCTTCAGAACTTTAACTTCCTCACAGCTTTCTGCCGAGGAATGTACTTTCACGAGTAGGTGCTCGGTCGGTCGGAAGTTTAAGCATGTCATTTTTGAGTACCTGCCACCGGTACTGCCGCATTCAAGGGGTCCTACCCTTCCTGAAAATCGAGTTAGAGCGAAGGTGCTGCATAGATGTCGCATAGCGTCTCCCCGCCCACTTTCCTCTCAGGGCTCACACAGACGGAAAGTGTTTCTTAACAATCCAGCTAGCTCCATCGGACCTTCATCGCTGCTCATATTACATTTATAGTCTATCTGCTACATCCATACGCTCCTTCTGGACTCGGATGCCGAATCGAACACGCATCGAGAGTTATTCCCCTTCAGACCAAAATGTGTATCAGTACATAAACTGGGTCGGACCAATGAAAAGATCATTACTACTAGACAGTCTTTTTGCACGAATCTGGATGAGGAAGAAGCATTTCGCTTTCAAACGGCTCGTAGATTTGATGAAGTTTAGATTTAATTAGGATGTGAATTAAAATAGAATTTAAATTTAGATTTAACCAAGCGTAGGCGAAAAGTAAACCCGAACTACTTCTTACAATTTGCTTTGGTAAAGTTTAGATTTAGGTTAAGATAAAAACAAGGTTATTTTTTATTATGCTTAGCAGAGGCCGAGAAACTCACCCCGAGACTCCTAGGCCTGGCGGGAAAATATGGGCGGAGGAAAGGGAGGAAATCCCAGCAGAGAGATGACATGGCATGAGTAAGAGAGGGATTGGAGGGGGATGTCGCGGCACTCTCCCCCTGCATGAATTGCTTGTGTTTCAGGCTGTTGCGTCCTGTCTCTCCTCCCAACCGGTCGACATGTTCTTCCGGGTGTCCACTCCGCAATGCTTTTTTCGGAATGATGGATCACTGTCCACTCGATCAGTTCATGGGCGAATTCAACTCCGACAACCATTAGTCAGCATGATTTCAGATGACACGACGTTTCGGCAATCGCTCATTTCGTGAACAGAAGTGCATAAATTGCATGTGGTACGTATATCAACAATCAGGTACCTAACAACGGATGTGGTAGGGTCAACACATTGGAATAACATCAGAATATCGCATCAATTAAAACTTGCCGCACGTTTCGATAACCTTTTTTCTCAGCGCTTCAAACTTGTCACTTTTGTGACCCACCTTATATGTGATAAGAGAGTATTTAATAATATATGTAGTTACACTTGAAATAGTGCATAATGATACATCAACCTGTCTCCAATTCCCACCGTATCCACTAGTTTCCTTGCCAATATCATAGTTAATTGCAGTGAAGATTATGGATCCACGAAATGTATTAAAATCGGAGGAGGTCAGGATTACATCTCAACGTAAAATCAATGTTGTTGCGCATACTGGGGAGTCACCTTCAGAGACGACTACTGTCATATGCGAAAAGCCTGCAGATCTTATTTGACCTGCGATTATCCTTGGCACCTTATCATGTAAATCATAATAATGTGAGAGATGCCACCAAATCCTGAGGAAGTCCTGCGCCGATGCTCATGTCCTCGTCCATCCTGAAGATGGCGAGACGAAAGCGATTCGACGAAGGCGAAAGTGCCTCGATGGCTTTGCAACCGAGGTCCTTCAGTTAAAATAGTATTTTCAATCTTTCGTGAGGGAAACGCGGCAAAATATCTGGAATTAATGACGTTACTTGGTCGTCTTCGCGGAATGAATGCTGTTACGCAATAAGATCTTTGCAAATCACCATAGAATATACAAAAATTTCCTACTTTACCGGAAAAAAACTTGATTTTGACAAGTGTATCTCTATTTGAGAGAATAAGTGACATGGATTCCGCTCTAAATTGGAGTTACCTTGTCCGCTTACTAGACGGAAACTCTGCTGCGTATGCCTCATTCGGAATACCCCGAAACAATTTCTTTTCACAGCTAGCACATGAAAAAGCACAACCGAGATGCCCCCGTCGCCTTACAGCATGCAAGGTTCTCACAGTGCCCATAGGACATCTCACACTTTCTCAAGATGACGAGTATCAAGGGCAGATTCCAAATGGATCGGGATTGGTATGGTCGGTGATGCAGTCTCCAATGGAAACGTGACGGATGAGGCACACAACTCTCGTCATTGCATTTCCAAATTTCTCTACCTTTCCGTCGAAGGAATTTGAATTTGAATTGCTTGAATTGCTTTTTTATTTCCATGGATTCTAGTCGTCAGACATCTCGCAAAAATTACAGCCCAAGATGATACAACAAAAACAGAGAAAAGGCTATGTACTAGGTCAATGATAAAAAGGCTCTTTTAGACAGAAATACCTACAAAAAAAGTTTTTGAAACTTGGATGTGTCGGCTTTGGGATGGCGAATACCATTTCTGGTAATGGGACCACCCCGTTGTCCAATGGCTTTTTGTATGTCTGGTCTCAAAGGATGATCTTCACTCCTTGAAATGCGCATGGCCAGGGCAGCACCTAGAGAATTCAGGGGCAGTTCATGTTAGATACAGCCTGCGCAGCAGTTTCAAAAGTAAGCGTTTGCTTTCCTCGGTCAAATATCCAGCATGGATTGGTAGGGCATATAATAAACAAGACAAGATGTAGTATTCCACAAAGTCCACTGCTGCTTGATTGGAGTTAAGAACATACCCGAGAAGACGAACCGCGAACACTTATTACGAGAAGCGTTTCTTGCAGACGTCTTCGACTTGGTTCTTAAAAGTCAGCCCAGTGTCTATGGTCATGCCCAGGTATTTCGTACCGTTCGACTGAGCTACAAGTGAGCCTCCGATTTTTATTTGATTCAGCCATTCCTCAGGGACCTTTTTCTTTGATTTAAAGACTATTTCCACAGATTTTGTTGGGTTCCAACCAGGTTTGAACGTGATCAATTTCTCGTTGATATGCCGTTAGGTCCTCTTTGTTGTTGATGGTGGATACGATGACTGTATCGTCTGCATATTTTAAGATGATACAGTTAATTTTCCGTTGCCTTGAGTGGATCAGTTACAAAAGAATGAAATTGAGGAGACAGAACCACGCCCTGAACTACTCCTGTAACCGTACTTTGAGCATCGGAACTCTTCTTGCACAATTTGACATACTGAGAGTTGTCTGAGAGGTAGTTCACCACTACTTCGAACAAGCTTCTTGAAATCTTCATTATGATAAGTCAACGTATGATGTCTCCCCGGTTGATGCAATTGAATGCTGAAGTGTAGTCGAGGAATAATGCTTGAACAATCCTTGTAGTCCTGTCGTCCTGAGCATTCACTACATGATGGAGTAGAGTCGCAACGGCATCAGATGTACTGCAAGGTTTGCGGCATGCAAACTGATTTTGATCCCTGGAATTTGGATCTATCGTTTCTTGGAGCTCATCTAGTATCATGTACTCCAGGCATTTAAGGAAGGGAGACAATAGCCCTACAGGTCTGTAGTACTTTAATTCTTTGGGGTGGGAAGTTTTCGGTAGTGGGACGATCTTCTCCTTCGTTCAGATTTTCGGAATTTTTCTCTGTCGCAAACACTCATTGAAGATGTCCATCATTGACTCGGATAGTGCTTTAGATGCATCATGTGTCGCCCAAGGACAAAGACCGTAAGGACCAGCTGATTACTTTGGCCTTAGTCGTCGTAGCAGCTGTTCAGTTCGCTCTTTCGTCAAAGTTTGAAAAACATGTTCGTTTGGCTGTAAAGGAAAGTCAGTTCCACGTGTGCTTCACATCAAAGACATTTGAAACATGTTGGGCAAGCCAAGTCATGAAGGGAGCCTCCTTTCAGTTAAGGAAATTCCCATTTTGTCACTTAATTAAATAAAATTCCATCTCTTTCCGGTCTTCGACCATCAAAAACCTCATTTCTCATTCATATTTGGTAAACTTAGACAAACGGTGCTTATGAAACGATGATGGGAGGATGGAGGGATGTGCGTCCTTGCATCCATCCGCCAAGAATGTTGGTCCCTTATCCTGATGCTAATGCTTAGAGTGCGAACAAGCTATTTTGCCTTGGCATTCACTGGATTTCCGTGTATTTTGACAGAGACAGAAACGCTGAGTTCTTTTGCCGGTTAGGTTAAGGATCATATACGTATGACTTCAAGGCTTTCTTAAGAATTCATTCACGACGTTTTCCATGCAATCATATATATCTGTAGAGTTTACATTAGACGGTTCTTTTAGCCTATGATTTCTTTTTGGTAGATTTTACAGTGTGCATATTTAAAAAATTATTTCATGTCCTATCCTGTCAGCACAAACTAAAACAATCATGCAGTGCCTCGGTTTGTGCAGAATCTCATCGGTTGTCTGAAATGAATAACATGCCCATTCTCTTGCAAATCGTCTCCTTCGAACATGTATTTCCGACTGAAGCACCCACCCTTAAAAATGTCCCACACCCTTTCCGCAGTGTGGCCTCCCACACCCACACCCACACCCACACTCGATCAGGTCGGGTGTGGGAATCCCACCATGCGGCATCAGAACAGGGCAAAACGCTCTCAGTCTTGTACGTTGATGTCAGTCGCAGGTGCCACGACCGAAGGACTCGCGTCTTCGAGAAGCCGTTTCCTTGCAGCCAGCTTTTCCGTTTTCTTCAATAAACGGAATCGGTAAAACCTGCACGTGGAACGAACCTTCCGCTTCACTCTGCCCGGTGAAAACTTGAAGCGGTCAGCCAAATAGCCTGGGGAAACATCATCACAAATGGGAGGAAATAAGATTTTTCCATCACCAAAATGATCAACATATATATTTATTATTCCAAGACATTTACAGTAAGGTGTTGCTAATATGAATGTTGTGAACGACCACATGGTAACAAGCCTGAACGCAAATGACTACTTTGACTACTTATGACTACTTTTTACGTGTCATGCTTCATCATATCATGACGATTCCAAAGGAAGCAAAATATTCCAGTGACGCGAAAACTATTCCACGAATAGGAAAAGATGACCCACCTTCTACGAATTTCATCTTTTGTGTGTCTAGGGCTGAATATATATCAGAGCCAAACGGTGTTGCTTCCTGCAGTTCTTCTTGAGTGAAAATGGCAGCAACGAGATTCTTAATACACGATACCCAATTGCAATTTTCTGACAATCTTCTCAGAAGTCCTTCTGGCGGGATATAGTCCCGCGTCTGAAAAAAAGATGCATATTTGAAACTGGCGAGTTTTTTTAACCTTGCGGGCAAACAATCTCGCTATGGTGGCGCCTTCGGCGTTTGTCGTTCTTAGATAATGGGTAATTCGTTTGAAAAATCGGAGTTCGAGCATTGCTATGAAATTCCTCGGGTTATAATTATTCTCTAATTCCCTGTTGACAGTGAGTTACTTCTGATTATTTGACTTCGCATTGACATATTAATACAAAAGAACCGAGATTCTTAGCTTCCTTAGATGATAGCACCGATCGTACCACTTCTGTAGAAAATTTTGGCTTCGTACGAGGGGGAGCTCTCTGAATCGGCGTGATGTAAATATTTATCGGAAACGTACAAGGGATGATCGGAAAGTAACAAGACAAGGACTGTGGTTTTAAAATCGGGGAGCTGTGATCGATAGGCGCATTCACGATTTCGAGGTTGCCGACTCCAAGAGCTGTGAGCCGATGCCAGAGCCGTAGGGCATGAGCAGTGGCAGTCTGAGCATGGCGACGAGATTGAAACCATGGCCACGCGAAGAAGTTCGCAGGGTTCTCCTTGTCTTATGGGTGAAGAACGAGCCAGAAGCCGAAATTCATCTGCAACTCGTGGAAGTGCACGGAGACTTCTTCACGAACCGGCAGAACGTGGTAGAATTGTGCAAGCCGTTTCGAAATGCCCTAAAGACGCCGAACGGAGTGGCCGCCCGAGCCGACCGATGCGAATCGACGAGGTCATCCAAGAGGACAGACGGAGAACCTTGCCTGCGATTTCGCAACGAGTCAAACGAGTCAGCTTCTCGCACGGAGTGCTGTTCGACATCGTCCACGACGTGTTACGGTACCGGAAGATGTCTGCGCTCTGGATGCCGACGGCTTTAACCGAGGAATACAAGCTGAACGCATGGATGGACTGCAACATTTCCAACGTTCAACATCACGCTGCAGAGGGAACCGCATTTCTGCAGTGAATTGTCACAAGCGACGAAACGTGGCTCCATCGTTCCATCGTTTCACGCCTGAGTCCAAAGAAGCATCGATGGAAAGCTAGCATGCACCTTCGCCCGTGCGGAAAAAATTCAAAGCGACAGTGTCACCGGGGAAGGTGATGGGAACTGTCTTCTGGGTTCAGGAGAGTGTGCTTTCAGTGGACTTCCTGCAGCACAGGTCAAGTGTCAACGCTGCTGCGTGCAATGCAACGCAACGCTGGAGAGACTGCATGAAGCCATCCGAAGGAAACGTGAAGGGCTCCTTACCAAGGGCGTTGCAGGATGACGCACGACCCCATACCGCCCGTCAGACGTAGGAGTTGTTGAAGGGGTTTGGGTGGGAAGTCCTCGATCGTGCTCCATACAGTCCCGATCTCGTACCCAGCGACTTCATCTATTCAGGTCTTCGAAGAAACGCCTCAGCGGACGTCATTCCGCAGAGGATTCCGCAGTTCAAGATGCGGTTCGAGTGCGGTTACACAAACAGGACACGGAATTCTTTGAGGATGGCATCGAAAAGCCGGTTCTTCGATGGGACGAATGTCTCAACCCGGTGGTGACCATTTGAAGTGGTGCAGGATAGGTACTACCACAATACGTGCTTCCCAGGTTCTAAAATAAATTGTTTTCAGAACTACAACTTGCCTTGTCTTGATACCTTCCGATCATCTAATAATCATTATACCTTTTCAATCTTCCTCCTTTTCACTATTTCTTATTTTTACACTATCAATTTCAACAAGATAAGACAATTAGGAACCAGGACGAGGTCAAGTTTAAGAAAAAAAAGTAACTTGCTATCATACTGCCTTGAAATGATAGGAATGGAAGAGATAAGCAAGATTATACAAGTCCAGAAAATAGCGCAGTGAATTGAATGATTTTTCAGGGAAAATGATATGATTCCATTCAAAGAAATTGGATGCAATTTCGTTCACCTCATTATCGGAAAGTGCAGTCTCGAAGGTAGATGACGGGGCTGGGATGGAATTCTCAAGGTCGTGTTCTTCAGGTGATGATATGCAAATAATGTCTTGTCCGCTTCCCAATGTTGCTCCTTCGAAATTCGTTTGAATGCCCTTGACAGGCATAGGTAACGTGAAAGGAGGACACGATGAGAATATTTGCAATTCAGGTATCGCAGGCATCGTGTTATAGGCATAGGCATGGGAGAGTGACAGTTCTGGTGTTTTCGACCTGAACCGTTCATTCATGAATGGGCTCGCGGATGAGACGGTTGAGGACGCGAGGGTTTCCAGCTTTCCGGCAAAATTTGGAAGCTCTGAAATGAAAATGATACATGGAAAGTTTAATTACGATCGCAATAGACTGAAAAAAGATATCACCAAAACATGAGAAAATAGACTTTTCAGGTAAAAAATATGAATTACTTTCTTGGAATTCCAAATCGGCCTGCCCGAGTCTTGCCTCCTCCTCCAACTTTGCTTGTGTCTCCCTTAGAACTGAAATCATAGGATGTTTTGGCTCCATATCCTTCATTTCTGAATGTTTCCTTTGCAGTTTTTCATTTTCTTCCATGATCTGAACTCGATGATACTCATCTCTGTCACCTTTATCTTCCCCCTCCTCCTCTTCCTTGGTAGGCGTCAACCCCTTCTGCGCAGTTAAAAATGTCATAAATTGAATGTACATCGTCTGTCGGAAACGTCCAGAAGTACTCAGGGACTAACCTGCTTTCTTGTGTGACTGTCAACAGGAGAAACCTCCAAAAAACTTTTTTTATTCGTCTTGGACTCATCCTCCAGCGGGTCCCTTCTCTCAGAATTAATATCCATGCAGATGTTTTCTCTTTGATTACCCTTGCAAATCAGACACTTCGAGTAATTATTCATTGAGATGGCTTCCACCTTCAATACCACTATAATATGAACATACCATTTCTTCGACGATGCTGCTATGCGAATATTCATCATTGCGAACCTCCTTTTGTTCCCCTGATATCATGCACTGAACCTCTTTCAGATGCTCCTTCTCTTCTTTCAGTTGTTCAAGTTTTTCTGTCTCTGCCAACTTTTGTGGTAACATTATAATATTTTTTGCTGCGTATCACTGTTATTGTCTGGTAGAAATGGGGCTGAAGGGGGAAATTTCATCGACATGCAGTTCTTTGAAGGTTAAATGAACAAACGCATTTAAGTAGTACCTCCGCCGAAGATAACCCTTCCTTGGGTGCATAATCTCTTCAAGGATTCTGGCACTAATGTGGACATTCGATTCTGTTTTTTAATATGGTCAAAAAACTGATCCTCAACTGTTCAGATGCCACAGATTTTGCTCTTTGGTGGGAGGTTTCATTTTAGTTGGTGTCATTGTTCCCCCAGCTTGCAAAGTACTTTGTTATTTTAATTATACTTACATATATACGTTTACATTTTAATATTGCAGCTGCAATATTTAAAAATATTATTCCGTGTCAAAATTCCGTGTCAATGCATCACTGAAGAGGTTAATGCAACCACCATCTGGTGCTCTCTTGCCAAGTAATACGTGGGTTATTAGGCCAACTTCCACAGGATTACAATGCATCGCATCATTTATACAATCTCCTGTAACAATTGACTCCTGATTCGTGTCTTGGCGCACAATGCAAGGTACAGGGTTTCCATTAAGTTAGTTCGTCTATGGATATGTCCATTGTATATATACATCTTATAAGTATATATATAAATCATATGTCAAGAATATGCGTGTGATGTCATGTGTCATATATTTATCAGGAAGGAATAAATATTCGACAACTAACCTGGAATATGACATGAAGGGAATGAATTTCCTTGAAATAAATTATCCTTGTCGCTGAATAACATGATCGATAAATATATCCTCGATATATTCGATCGATAAAACATGATCGAATAACATGGTCGATGGTTCGTTTTCAACCACGCACAAAGCGCTGAAGGCGACACTGGGAAGGGAGGGAGGGGGGGGGAAAGGGGGATGGGTGAAGGCCTTCGACGACCCCGTTTGCAATCTACCAAGCGCTAGAGGGTGTTCCGGTCCAGTTAATACAAGTTGAAGATACGGAAAGCGCGACAAGCACCGACGGGAAGGAGAGGAGGGCGCGGTGAAACTGGTGGGCCTCGTCGGAAAGCCACCTTTGCCGGGAAGCGGGGAAGGCCTTTGAGAGTTGGGGAAGGGGGGGGGAAAACACAGAGGGATGGCATGGCATGACTATTGTTTATTGTCCTACTGCTCTCCGTATGCTTCAACAAGATAGTTTTCGTCAACTCATTGTTTACAAGAATCACGAGACATATGGGAGGGGGAAGATTTAAAAGTTCCTTTGTCAAAGACGATGTTATTCCAGATCATGTTTTCCATCTCCCCTTTCTTTGACTCTCCCTCCTTCTCCAGCTATTTTTTGGCGGTAGTATTTTTTTTCCCGAAGTAAATATAAGCATGACTGGTTCCAAGACCTGCAGGGGCGACTGCATCATAGGTCTCCACTTCGAATGGATTAGTATTGGATAACAATATGTGCAGGGCGTTCAAAAACATACGGAAGGTCAGCATTAGAGTGCACACTTTTGGAGCATATTCATTATTTTATACTTTCTCAAAGTGTTCTAAGTCAAACATGGAAATGAGAAAGTTTGAGTTCTATATGGAAGTTCATTCAAAGGTGTCGCTTTTCTGCTTGAGTGCTTCAAGGGCAATAGAAGACTAGAGAATATCAGCCAAGGTACAGATCTGCCATTCCACTGGCCCCTGTACCACTGGTGCCAATAATAGCTGTCATTGGTTTGACATAAGCCTATATCAGAAGGCCCGGATATTATGACATGCTCTCGATGGTCCGCGAGTCCGCGTCGTGTTGAGATGGGAGGACAACATCAAGTGTTGGATGCCAGATCCCGCAGTTCACGCATGCACCTAGTAACCTAGTAAAATAAGTAGATGAGGAAAATAAGGGGGGAAAAGCACGATTCATTTGTAGACTTTTCATTGCTGTTTCAATTCTTTAACCTTTGTAAGTAAGAATAAAGAGCTAGGGAAACGAAAGGAAGTAGCGATTTGCAATTTGTGGGTGTTTCGTTGCGGTCTCTCATTTGTGACCTATTTAATTAGGTATACATTATGAATAAAAACTTTAAAAAAATTATATTTGGAGGAGTACTCCGTTTTGCCCTTCAGGGACACCTCATTTTGCCCCATGGTTGGGGCTAAACGGAGTATTTTATAACAATTTTTTAGAAATTTCGTGGGGGAAAAACCGTCCCTGGTTTCACGATGAAGTTGAATCCTAGTTGTAGGTAAGACATTAAAGGTGCTGCATGCCAATCCTCAACGTGGTCCGCCGATTCCTTGGTACTAAATTTTGGGCAATTTTACATTTTCCCCACCTTCCCCTACCTATAGGAATGAAAAATTTAAATAATTAAAAGAAATGTTAGACATCAAGAAATTCATATGCGACATGTTTATCATATCCGCGCGGAAGGAATGCATTCTCTTTGCATTTTCACAACTTGGCTTAACCAGATTTATTTGCATTTGAAGATTTTATTGAAATTTACTCTTGAACTTGGGGAGCGCGCGTATATTCGCCTATTTTACCCCTCCCTCTTGGAGCAGGAAGGCCAGTTCTTCTGGTCAGTTCTTCGCAGCTTTTCGAGGCTCTGCCTTACCATGGGCAGTATGAGAAACAATATTTTCATGAATTTTTTTGGTGCCCATCTGAAGTATACCCAGTTAAGACGAAGCTTTACGAGCAATAGTCGAGAGATTGTTCGAAAAGTATGGGTGAGTTGAGGGGAGCAAGGGAGAAACTTCCCTAGGAAATGGGAGTTTCGCCCTCGTCTCGCCATCTTCAGGATGAACGCGGAGACCAGAGTTGGCGCGGGACGCGTCAGGGGACGATAACATCGCTCATCGCCTCCGGCATGCTGCCGCGAAATCAGGGATTTTAAGCGTACGTGATGAATTACGGGGCTCCTTGTGAGTTCGTCGTCGATCGTATTCACACGGGCTCCACAAGAAAAGCCATCACCGCCGTTTCATCGTGTGGTTTCCATCGTTCAAAATACAAAATTGCAGAACGACTTGCTCCTTCGTTACGGCATGCATCGTCTTCACTCCTTTGAAAACGGCTACGAACGACGCGAAGAAGCCAACGAGCGCCAGAGTCATTCGCGTTTCTCGTCTCATGCTGGATGCAAGTAGGGGATATCATCCTGTTTCAAGGCGGAGATGCTTTCGAGATGGGTTCACTCCACAGGGATTTATTTGCAGTCATGGGTTTGTCTCGAAGCCGGAATCCCTCCTCTTCCTTCCACAGTGCCATTATTGTCAGACGTCTCCCTGGGCTCACTTTCATCATTAGATGATCATATCGAATTCCAATGTATTTCGCTTTGCCGTAAGAAGGGAAAAATGAGGTTCCTCACGTAAGAAATCCCAGAGACGTGGCTCGGTTTCTTTATCGGCGACCCACTGGGTTTGCGGCCGAAGGGCATGTGGTACCCAGTGGATCGTTCGCAAGAAAATGAGAAAATGAAAATTGATGGGAGACAGTAACCCCTGCGTTCCGACAAGACTCTGCATATGCAAGCACGGGACAGATGCCCTGAGCTACTTTGAAGGCTGGCAACTCCACAACGGGCTCCAACCCCGTGGCACTGGAACGATAGAATGGATGAGTAAAGAAGGTGGTAAGAAAGGCCTCTCTGCACACAGAACGGTGTGGCGCGAGTCCATTCCAGCCCTCTCTTCATTCACTCCAATTTATTAAATGCGCATCTTCAGGTTCCCATACGCTTTGACGGGTGAGAGAAAGATAAAGAGGGAAAAACGCGTTGGGTTGACGCGGCATCACTTCGGTTTGTCGCGCCGTTGCCCTCCGTACGCTTTGGATTTTAAGCGTCCGTGATGGATTACATAGGCCATCTTACATAGGTAAAGGCAATCGGACCTCTACGTGAACAGCCAGCTGCTTCGCCTATTAAAAGCAAAAGGACATTGGGACAATGCTCATCGGATTAGCGAACGGGCGAACAATGCACGGGCCTAGGGGAAATTTGCTTTAACGAATCTTATGGATGCGAAACGAGATGAGGAGACGACGAGACACTGCCAGACTATTTTCGTGCCGTGGACCCGATGGGATGGACAACTGAGAGATGGGGAAGTCTCCCCGAAACCACAAATTTAGGGCAGAGTAGGATGCAAATTTAGTCATAGGTTCGTATGTTAGTAACAAACGATGAGTCTTTCCAAATTCCATTCTTAATGGAATTTCCTTGCAGCTGTAAGGTAAGGGACCGTGTGATTTTGTTGGTGACGCCCTCAAGAGGCTCTTGGCCCGTGCACACCTCCAACGCTATTATTATTATTATTATGATATCATGATACCCTATTATGACGATACCCAACCCAGGCTGACAGCCTGTGAGAGTAGTATTTCGTGAACAAAGATGCTAAACGGATCAATTAATGTGGAAAAAACTGTAATGCGAATCAGGCGCAATAAGTCCAGCTACAACTCCTTAGCACTGCATTTTTGGTTTTGTCACGTTGACGTCCCACAAAACTTAATGGATTGGTGAAATTCTAAAAAAAATGAGCATGCTTTGTAAAAGGAATATGATTCAGATTTCATGAAACCCTTATTATCGTGGTATTAAATGGATTCTAATAATTCATACCTCACATATGAACCATTACAAGCATTCCTCCTAGCCGTCGCAGTTGAAGAGTTCTGAAAATCGCCCGAGGAATCGCACATGCCTAAAAACCTATATTTTCAAAATTCCTATATCCTTCATCAACTGAAAGAAAAATAAAACATTTAGGATTTTGGAGTTTCACGAAAGACCTGTTAATGACATTTTTCAATTTTTTCTTTGTAATGAGATGTAATGAGCACGAAAGTTGTCGAAATCTCGTCACCAGGCAAGGGCCTTCACTTAAACCGATGGAGGCTTCACCATTCGCTCCTGCCTCCTCCGGGTCTCATGCTCCTTACGCGAGCGAATGAGCCGATGAAGAGCGTCATCATAAAAATCACACGGAAAGGAAATTCTTCCAACAAAATCATTCCATGTCATCCCCCTCAGCATTATCAAGCATGAATTAATTGGAATCG